TTCCTGGGGAATGGGGCGGGGAGCCCCCTGCAGTGGTGCGGAGCCTGCCAGGCCTCAGCCAGCCCTCCCTGAGAACTGGAGCCCTGGAGTAGGGGTAGGGACTCTCCCCTTCACTGCTTCCGTCTCTTCCAGGCCCAGAAGCAGGGACCAAGCTGAGGGGGTGTGCCGTGAGGCCATGGTAATTGAGGGACAGAGGCCCATGGGCTGCCCCAATGGTTTCCAAACCTGACTGATCAGTAGATTCTACAGCAGATGCAAACACAGCTCCCTAGGCTTCTAGAGTTTCTGACTTAGTAAGACTTGGGGCCCTGTGTGGCTGACCATACACAGGGATCCTGGTACCCACTTTCCAATGACCATGATCAGTGAGGGTGGTACTATTCTGGAAACAAAAGGGGAAAGCATCCCATACGAACAAGCTACAGCAGCTGAGCCCAGATTCTTCAAATTGTCTAAGGAGGCACAGCTGAAGGTATCTGGAAAGTTCTTGTTGTTTGGATGGAACAGTCCCAGCTCCTTTCACATTGCCTCCAGCACCCTGTTCCCAGCACCCAGCACCACAGGCAGAGCCTGGGGAGGGTGCATCTGGAAGGCTTTTGTGCTAAAGCAGAGGCACGACACTGGTAGCCCGGGCAAGTGTCAGGCCTCTGGCTAATGGGGCTTCTTGGCACAGCCCCTGCAAGTGGATCAGCTTTCTAATACTGCCTGTGAAATGCCACTATCTCCTCAAAGAACAGCAGAATAATTCTTGTGACACCTTAAAAAACAAAAAACAGTTGCAGTAGAATTGATTCTGACTCATAATAACCCCATGTATGTGGGGTAGAACTGCTCTATAGGGTTTCAAAGCTGTGACCGTTTATCACCAGGCCTTATTTCTGAGGTGGGTCTGGATGAATTCAACCCGCTGACCTTTCAATTAGTAGCCAAATGCTTAACAGTTTGCGTCAGCCAGAGACTCTATTATCTTCATACCATCCTGTATGCCCTTCCTGCTTATGGGACATTTTGAGGGGGAAAGAGCATAGGACCATGAGTGTAACTGACATTCAGTTCCATTCTCAGCCCTGCCTCTTGTCTGATGTGAGGTCTTGGACAAACACTAACCTTTCTGTCTTCTCATCTAGCATATTAGCCCTGACAGAGATTCTCCTGCTGGGACTTGGGTCCTGAGCAGGGAGATTGCTCAGCTCTAGCCTTCCAGCTACTCCTCGGAAGGAAGATGGGGCAATCTACTTCCGTAGTGATACTGCCTCGGAAACCCAAGGAGGGGTCACTATGAGTCGGGTCCGACTCGACGGCACATAACAACCACCACCACAACAGCCTTCCAGCGGGATGCATTCCCCAGTTTGTACAGCTTCTCCCTGTCTCAGAGCCCCAGGTTGGGTGCTGGGAGCCTGAGAGCCTATCAGACTTGTAAACGCGGATCGTGGGAATGGCCCTCTCCTAGTGCCCTCACCATCCGGTACCCCAGGCTGCAATGCTATTTTTATCTGCTTCTGGTTAGTCTATCGTTATTTAGGGCAGGACCAGCCACTCAACCCAGGCTTGCCACATAGTGTTGCAAATATGAGCTCAGAAGGTGACTTAAGTCTAGCAGAACTACCCGCCAGGCTGACAGACACACGGAAACTCACTGATTCCAGTAAAAAGTTTATTCTTGTTGTTTTCAAGAACTCTAAAATGGCCAATTTAGGCATCAACAGCAGGGATTGGATCACTTTTTTAAAAAATTATCTGTATCTGTCTGTTTATCTAGGGTCCCTGGGTAATGCAAATGACTAATGTGCTCAGCTGCTAATTGAAAGGTTGGATGTTCAAGTCCACCTAGAGGCTCCTCAGAAGATACGCCTGATGATATGCTTTCAGAAAATCAATCATTGAGAACCCTGTGGGGCACAGTTCTCCTCTGACACACGTGGGATCCCCATGAGTTGGAATTACTTCATGGCAACATTTTTGTTGTTTTTTTGCAACTGTTTTTTTTGGTTATCTCTCTGTTTTTTTGAGGTATAAATTGCCGTGATGTCCACAAATCATAATTGTACAGCTGTGTGGTTTTACATGTGTATACACTGTTTATCCACCACCCCTGTCAAGAAACAGAGCACTCCCACCTCCCTAGAAGCTGTCCTCAATTCTCTCCCTGCTCCTCCACAGTAAGTGACTAGCACAGACCAGGGCCTCAGGTGGCCAGGGCGTGAAGCAGAACCAGACTTAGTGTTGAGAGTAGAGTGGGGCTTTACAGTAATCACAGGGACTTCCTAAAGAAGGCTGGGTTTGCTTAGCAGACCCTGTTGTGGTGGTGGTTGTTGTTATGTGCCGTCGAGTCAGACCTGACTCATAGTGACCCCTCCTTGGGTTTCCGAGGCAGTATCACTACGGAAGTAGATTGCCTCATCTTCCTTCTGAGGAGTGGCTGGTGGGTTTGAACCGCCAGCCTTCTGGTTAGCAGTCAAGTGCCTTAGGCACTACGCTACCAGACCCTGCCGAGTGCAAATGATTACTGAAAGAGGTATTTACCAGAACAAGAGAGGCTACACCCATCAAAGGGAGGATGGATATGAGTGAGGAAGTAAGAGCATTTATTTTGCCTCTGTTCTTCCCTGGATCAAGCCCAGAATCTTGTGACCTCAGACTGCATCTACCAAATTTCTGAGTGTCTGTGGAATGTGGTTCTGAGCCTGCCCCACAGAGCGCTGAGATAAGGCAGCCACTCCAGCTTTTGGGAGGAACATACCTTGTGGGACCTCTGACCATACAGGCAGGTATGGGCCAGAGGCAGGAGTAGATGTCAGGGTTAGGAGTTGTCCAGACAGGTGGTTGTCCAGTCTGGCCTGTTGCATGCCCGTGCATAGTGCATAGTCACCTGCAGTCACAAGGATCTCGTCTCTCCCATTATCAGATGATTAGAAAGTTCTTTTTTGGTATAAGCTCAGATTTTCTGACTTCATTGCTATCTCTGGTTCTTTCCACTCTTGTTGGGTGCCATCAAGTCAGTTTCAACTTATAGCAATCCTGTGTACAACAGCAAAATACTGCCCGGTCCTGTGCCATCCTCACAATTATTGCTATAAGCTCATTATCGCAGGCACTGTGTCAATCCAGGGAACTCTGGTGACGTAGTGCATAAGGCATTTGACTGCTAATCAGAAGGCTGGTGGTTGAAACCCGCCAGCCACTCCTCGGAGGGAAGGTTGGGCAATCTACTTTCGTAGTGATACTCCCTCAGAAACCCAAGAAGGGGTCGCTATGAGTTGGATCTGACTTGACAGCAGTGGGTTTGGTTTTTGGTTTGGTGTCAGTCCACCTTGTTGAGGGTCTTCCTGTTTTTGCTGATTCTGTGTTTTATCAAGCATGATGTCCGTCTCCTGGGATTGGTCCCTCCTGATAATATGTCCAAAGTATATGAGACAAGTTTTCTCATCCTTGCTTCCAAGGAGCATTCCAGCTGTACTCTTCCAAGACATTGTTCATTGTTCCGACAGTCATTCAGTATTCTTCATCAGCGTCATTAATTGAAATGTATCGATTCTTTTTTTGTCTTCCTTATTCATTCTCCAGCTTTCATATGCATATGAGCCAATTGAAAATACCATGACTTGGGTTAGGCTCACCTTAGTCCTCAAAGTGACATATTTTGATTTTTAACACTTTAAAGAAGTTTTGGGGCAGATTTATTCAATGCATTATATAATTTATATGAAATACATCAATAATTTCTTGACTGCTACTTCCATGATTGTGGATCCAAATAAACTGAAGTCCTTAACAACTTCAATATTTTCTCCATTTATCATGATATTATTAATTGGTCCAGTTGTGAGGATTTTTGTTTTCTTTGTGTTGAGGGGCAGTGCATACTGAAGGCTGTAATTTTTGATCTTCATCAGTAAGTGCTTGAAATCCTTTTCAATATTCACCAAGCAAGGTTGTGTCATCTGCATAGTGTGGGTTGTTAATGAGTCTTCCTCTAATCCTGATGCTACGTTCTTCTTCATATAGTCCAGCTTCTTGAGTTATTTTCCTAGCGTATAGATTGAGTAAGTATGGTGAAAGGATACAACGTGACACACACTCTTCCTGATTTTAGGTCATGTAGTATTCCTTGTTCTATTCCAACGACTGCCTCTTGGTCTAGGTACAGGTCCACATGAGCACAATTAAGTGTTCTAGAATTCCCATTCTTTGTAATGTTTTCCATAATTTATTTGTTATGATCCACCCCATCAAATGCCTTCATGTAGTCAATAAAACACTGGTAAACATCTTTCTGGTATTCTCTACTTTCAACTGAGATTCATCTCACATCAGCAGTGGTATTCCTCATTCCAAGTCCTCTCCTGAATCTGGCATGAATCTCTGGCAGTGGCCTGTCAATGTACTGCTGCAGCCATTTTTGAATTATCTTCAGCAAAGTTTTCAAGGTGACATTTTTGCTTTTTAATACTTTAGTAAGATATTTTGTAGCAGATTTGCCCAAGGCAGTACATTACTTGATTTCTTTACTGCTGCTTCCAAGTGAAATGAAATCTCTGACAACTTCAATCTTTTCTCCATTTATCATGATGTTGCATATTAGTCTAGTTGTGAGGATTTTTGTTTTCTTTATGTTGAGATATAATCCATACTGAAGGCTTTGCTCTTTATCAATAAGTGCTTCAAGTCTTCTTCATTTTCAGCAAGCAGGGTTGTATCATCTGCATAACACAAGTGGTTAATGAATCTTCCTCTACTCCTGATGCTTTGACTAAACCCTCTCCATTGAGGGTTCCCTTTTCTGTGTGACAGTCCCTGGATTTCTGTGGACTTGACCACTCCAGACTCCCCTTACTCTGTCCTGGTCTTATCTGGAGAAACCAGGATCTTCCTGGCCTTCAGAGTCCAGCAGGCCCCTAGTTGGGCCCAGCGCGTGTGTGGATCTGATGAGGCCACATGGCCTGAGCTGGTGGAACTCTTGTGAGAAGTCTTAACCTTGTGTTTTGTGTGATTCTCAGCGCTAAGAAACCCAAGAAACACCTTGAAGTGGGCACCAAGCCCAAGCCTGCACCCTGGCTCACCATCTTTGATGAGGAGGTAGAACCTGATGAGGGGCTTTTTGGCCCCAGCAGGAAGCTGTCCCTGCAGGGCTCCACAGAGGATGTCTCCACCAGAGACCGTAAGTAGAGTCCCATGTGTTCCTTCACTTCTGGTGTCCACTCTGTGGCCCTCCCCAGTGCATGGGGATTGAACTCGCCATCCATGTGATGGTATGGATGTCTTTACCTTCACTTTGTTTAGACAGGATATGGTCTCAGTTTAAGGAGATTTCCTCCTAGAGAAATCTGGCCTCACACCTAGTGTCCCCACACACTGGAACATTCTAGCCCTGAGTGGTTCTACTCTGCACACATAGGGTCACCGTGAGTCAGAACTGACTCCATGGCACCTAACAACAATACTGTTTATGCTAAACATCCCACAGAAGATGAGGATTTTGTTGCTTTGAGAGGCACAGATTGTGTAACAGCACCTTCCTTATATCTGTAGCCAAATGTGGATGCTGGGGGCCTTGCTCACAGCATGCTCGTTACTCTGAATGTGGGATTATCCTAAGAGGCTTGTATTTTCTGGACAAACCCCATTGGAGGGTTCTGTGCTGAGGTGGAAAAGGGGAAGTTGAGTGGCCTTGGAACTTCTGGGAGCTCCTGGGTCTGCTTCTCCTTGTCCCCTGGCCAGATTTGCTTACAGGGTGGGAAGCTAATGTCATTTAATAATTCAGGAAACTCTTGGGGAACACCATTGAGGACCACGTCCTATGAGAGGCCCAAGAACACAGAAATGAGTTAAGACCCACTTCCTGTCCTTAAGGAGATAGAACATAAATGGAAAATTCCAGGTAGTGTCAGTCTATACTAGATCGGAGCAGAACCACATGAGTACCTATGTGAGAAAGCCCAGGTAGACATCCCAGGGTGGGGCTGGAGTGGGTTGAAAGGCCAATGGGAGTTTGCCAAGCCTGCTGAGGAGATATAATCCAGGCAAAGAGGATGGCGATCAACTTTCATCAAGGCAGTGTTGAGCTATTCAGTCAGGAGTGGGGTGTGGGGGTAGAGCACAGACTCCTGAGAGGTGAGATGGGCTATGGTCAGAACAGTGTCTGCTCACAACTGTCCTGGCAGAGAGCAGCCCCTGTGGTTGGCACTCTGTAAACACATGTTGAAAGACTGTAATGCAGCAATAGGAGGTAAGTTAAGAGACACCAGTTGTATTGGATTGCAGGGCACGTTGCACAGGGAACCAAAGCAGCTATTAGCTCCTGAAAGCAGTAGGGAAGGGGGACCTGACACCTGGAATGAAGCCAGTCACTCACTCACATACAGCGTGGGGAGGGTAGAGAGGGTGGGCTACAGCTGACAGATGTTGTAGGACCTAGATGAGCCTCCTGTCCTCTCACCCTCCTCACTCTGACTCTGGCCCCACTCTTTGGTTCTTCTGTACTCTGTTGTGTGCCTTGCTCATTCTCTCCCAGTTGTGACAGGGAGCCAGGCCAGGCTGTCTACCCTGAAGCCCTGACAACTAAAGACTGGGCCAGAGCATCCTCTGGTCTCACTGCTGCTGCCTTCTCCACAGCCCTGAAGCTCTTTGACGATCCTGATCTTGGTGGGGCCGTACCTCTGGGTGATCCCTTACTGCTGCCAGCCGCCCATGTGAGTGGAGAGCCTCCTGTGTCTAGTCTGGGCTGCAGGGAAGCCTCCAAGGAGCTCTTCAGGTACCCCTGCCCCTAGCGGTGTCTTGTCAGCTCTGAGAGAGCCTAAGCCCTTGAAAGAGCCCCCTGTCCCAGTGTGGGAGAGTTTCACCAGCCTAGGTTGAGAGGGAACAGATTCGGCAGGTCAAAGCCAGGAGCCTGGGTACAGACTTGCCAAGAGGCAGTGAAGAGGCATCATGGGGAGGATCAGCTACCCACAGTAGCTCAGCACATTCCAGAATGAGAATTGGTGTTGGCCTTAGTTTCGTATATATAATAATTCTTTTTCTTTCCACACTCATGTTTTAGTAGTTTATATAAAAAGGAATTAAATTATACAATTGCAAGAGCAAGTATGATAGCTGTAAACAGATTTGGGAACAAACAGAACCAACTCTTGGTGACATGTGACTCATGTAGCAGGAGCAGAAGGGCAAATGTACCAGAGAGTGGCCTGCCAGCCAGGAGGACCCATCAGTATGTTTTACAGAAGGAAGGGAGGGTGACGCTTAATCTATTAAGTAGTAGTTGATTAGTAGACCTTGTTTGAAAATGATATTTGCTGAGCACTTGTTCTGTGTCAAACAGTCTTATTTAATCTTCACCCCTGTTGTCACTGAGTCAGCTCCAACCGTGGTGATCATGTGTATTGAGTGCAACTATGCGCCATCAGATTTTCAGTGGCGCAGTCTTAGAGAAGTAAATTGGCAGCCCTTTCTTCCATGGTGCAGCTGGGTGGATTGGAACTGCCAACTCTTCAGTTAGTAGCTAAGTGGAAACCAAAACCAAACCCATTTTTGTCATGTTGTTTCCAACTCATGGCAACCCCTTGTGTTATAGAGTAGGATTATCCCATGGGGTTTTCTTGGCTGTAATCTTTATGGACACAGATCACCAGGCCTTTCTTCCACACTACCACAGGGTAGATTCAGACCACCAACCTTTAGTTAGTAAACCAAAGGGGGGAAAAAAAAACACTGCTATCAAGTCGATTCCAACTCATAGTGACCCTATAGGATAGAGCAGACCTGCCCCATAGGGTTTTCAAGGCTGTAAGTCTTTAAGGATACAGATTGCCACATCTTTCTCCCATGGAGCAGGTGGTGGTTTGAACCGCTGACCTTGTAGTTAGCAGCCAAGCACTTTAAACACTGTGCTGTCAATCAAGCACAAACCATTTGTATCACACAGCGACTTCTGCATCCCTCCAAGAAGGTTATTATTACTCCATTTCACAGGACACTGAGTAGGGGAGAGGTAACCTGCCCAAGGCCACAGCTCTTAAGTGGCAGAGCCCGGATTGGATCCCACATTGGCATGCCTCTGTCCTGTTCTCTTTGCCCACTCTGGTTCCTCTCTGTGTGCAGGATGTATTGGGGACTCTAAGCATTTGGAGAATAGGCTGGAAGATCTGCCTACTTTGCCCTGGGACCACAGCAGGTTCTCCCAGGCTTCTATGTTTTGTTCAGGTTGTATTCTTCATGTGCTTACCAATACTCAAGTCCATTTCACATCATGTCTGTCACCCAAGATGCAGAGCTGTACCTTGGTAATTTACATTTACAGGAAGGTGTGCTATTTCTTTCCAGGAAACATTTACGTGTGCTGAGGCATGAGTCCCTGGGGGCTGTCATCTGCACCCCTTGTTAGCAGACACGGCCTATTAGACAGCCCTTAAGTGCCCGCCGAGCCTGAGTCACAGTGATGGCTTCTGATATTTACATCTCCCCATGGCCCCTGGCATCTGTTCACACTCATCTTGTGCCCTTGTTCCCAATATCCTGCCAGGCTGGCAGGAATTGGGATTATTGTTCTCATCTCATTATGGGAAAAACCAAGGCATAGGCAAGAGGATAAAGGGTTAGCCCCTGGGAGTGATTGGCAGGCCACACAAACAAGCCCAGGGAGCCTTTGCTATCTCTAGGACTCAGCATGTCCAACTAAGGCAGATATAGTGGGATCTTGTGGCTCAGTTCATTCTAAAGCCATTGCATCGGAACTTACCAATGGTGTTCTGTGGAACACAGGTGCATAGGGATGGTGAAAGCTGCTACCTTCAAAATGGTTCTATGGCCAGATGGATTAGGGAAATGACTTCTCAGGGCTTTTCGTATATATGAGCATGCATTGCTCAAGGGAGAAATGCCATGCAGCATTTCATGCACTTATTGGTCCTCAGGAGCCCTCTCTTTGTAATACCTGTTAGTATCTCACAGAACTAATAGTCCACTCACCACATTTTTTGGAATCTGCTTTAAAGAATGTGAGGCCTGCATCTGCCTTCACTTGTAAGACACATCTGATAATGAAAGAATAAACTGTTTGAGAGCAGGAACCTTATTTTATTCTTCTTTGTGCCTGTCTACCTTTGACTATCTGGGTAGCAATTAGGCTTCCTTACAATGAAAAGCTTTCTAATATTCATTCATGCTTTCACTCACTCATTTGTTCATCAACTAGCTGTAGCATTAGTCACCCCAACACAGCATAGAGTGGTGTGACCAGCAGGATTTGGAGTCTGAGAAGCCTCAGTCTCTCTTGCAGGGCCTCCAGCTTGAATCTTTTGCTGAGTTCTGTTCTCAGCAGGGACCTGGGGAGGAGGAGCAAGAGCTGTGGTCTTCAAAGCTCCTCCTACCCCCTGGATGGTTGACCTCACACAGGCCGGGCCTGAAAAAGGGAAGAGTCCAGAGCACCTTGCATTAGTGGGACCTTGCCCTAGTCATGACTCAGAGACCCCAATGGAAATAAGGTACATAAAAGGGATGCCCATGCAGCCACCTGTATGCTAAGTGCTACCACCCACTGCGGCTGGCACCCCACATCAAACCTCCCACTTTGGCTGGCTGCCCCACATCGCACCTCCCACCTCAGAGCAAGTTAGTTCTGAAGAGTTACTGCTTTGCCAAGCAGTATAAATCCTTAAATCCAACACAGCTTTTACCTGCTGCTTTGTTTTCTTAAGAGCCCTAGTATGAGGCTAATTCAGTCCCTTGAGCTTTTCCTGGATCCCCAGCCTCTAGGGGAAGGCATAGGGGTATGGGTGGGGGTAGCTAGCACCTGCCCTGGGGAAGCTCATGGAAGGGCTACAGCTCGCCGGGAAGAGCTAGGACCTCCAGAGCTAGCAGGCACGTCTGACCCAGTTTCTAGGAGTGGGCCTTTTCCTGGCTAACTATTGTTAGTTGCTGTCAAGTTGTTTCCAACTCATAGTAACCCCATGTGTGCAGAGTAGAACTGCTCCATAGAGTTTTCAAAGTTGTGACCTTTCGGAAGCAGATTACCAAGCTTGTCTTCTGATGTGCCTCTGGGTGGATTCAAACCACCAACATGTCACTAAGTAGTTGAGCAAGCACTTAACCATTTGTGCCACCTGGGGAGTCTGGTCCCTGGCAGACGCTTCCTAGCGTTGCCTGTCTGTCAGGGTCTAGCTCAGGCTTGGCCCCTCTGTCTTGTCTGGAAGGACTCCTTTCATTCCCTTCTCTGCAGTTCAAGGAGACTTCAAATTCTCTCTCTTTCATGTCTGTGCCCCGACACAGGAAGTCAGCCCACAAATCGGGCAGGGAGGCCTGGAGCCCCTGTCATAGCCAATACCTAGCAGTCAGCCCCTCCTATTAGGAGCTAAGATTGAGGAGAGCTGTACAGGGCACTGTCATCCTCCTACAACCCCCTTCCAGGCCCTGTGGAGCTGGGGAGTTATTCTGAGCAAAGATGCCTCCTTTCTACTCCCTCTACCCAGCCCTGCTGATGTCAGAGCTGACCAGCCCTCTTAATCCTGCTCCTCTGGATACAGTGCTCAGGCAGGAAGCCTCTGGTCTTGAGCCTTCCTGGCTCCCACCATCAGTTATCATTCTACCTCCAAACCTTTGCTCTGTACTGCTCCCAGAATTCCCTCCTTGCTTCCCTTTTTGTGCCAGGCCTATCCTTCTTCAAAGGCCTGGTTTCTCCAGGGAATTTTCCCAGCCTGTTCTGACCCCTTCTCTGAACTTATTCTTGGACCTTTTTAGTTGTGTGAATCCTGTCTTACCTGCTGGTCTGTGAGTGCCCTGAGAGGAGGGACTGAGGCTACTGCTCCTTTATATTTTATGCATGCCTTGTTCCACACACAGCCGCTTCAGTAGAAAATCAATATATGCCATATCCCCTTACATTTGTAAAGTAGTTTCCATTTGGTATCTTATTTGATCCTTATAAGAGCTTCTATGAGGTTGACAGGGCAAGAATTAGCCCCGTTTACAGATGAGGAGACTAGGACCAGGCAGGGAGGCCTGGGGCCACCTGATGTAGAAGTTGCAGAATGAGGAATGGTACTCAGTTCTCCTGGTTACAGTGCTGTGCTCTTGAGTTCCAAGTACTCTGCAGCTCTGCAAGGTGAGCCTGTTATTCCCATTATAAGCTATAGAAACCAAAGCTTGCAGATTGGAGAGGCCAGGATACCTGCCCAAGGCCACTCCAGTGCTTCTGCCTGCAGCTTGTGGGCCCTCCCTCACCTGTCCCCAGTGTGACTGACTAATGCCTACTCAGATACTAAACACAGTACTAAACCCACTAAACATAGGAACGTTTCTGCTCAGACATGGGCAGCACCTGTCTGAATATTTCTGTTGGTTGCTGGTTTCAGAAACTTGGAAGGGGCCAGATACCTCTCCATCCCTTTAGGTTTCCAACCTTGGCCCACTTGATTTCCTTGGGAATTTTCCGTGTAACTCTGCCTAAGCCTCCAGGATGTTACCATCGGACCATGCCCACCAACTCTGTGAGTGCATGGGCCCCTAGTGTCTCTTAATTGCAGACCAGACTGGCTAGTGCATAGCACTTACAAGAGGGTAGAGAGAGGGCCGCCGTGCTCCTGGGAACATGAGCTGGGGTTACCATTCCCAAGTCCTGTTTTAAGCCAGAGAGCCACACTGCCCTCCCTCTTCCCAGCTGGGTGAGGATATGCAAGCCCTAGCCCAGTCATTCTTTCTTAAGAGTTAGGGAAACTGGAATATTCCTGAAATGACCTTATATAGCCCCTCACAGATAGGAAAACTAAAGCAGGAAGGAGAAGCACCCTGTCTGTGGCCCCCTACTCTGTAGTTCTTCTTGCTCTGGATATTCTTTTCATGACTGAGACACTGTCAGACTCAGCATGTCTTAGACCGAACTGTCATCTGTCAAGGGACAAGAAAAATGGGCAGCAGATGTCTTTAATCTTGACCCAAAGGAAAAACCTATTGAAGATGAAGGTGTTGAGATACCACAGAAGTCACCACAGAGTCCAAAGGGAAGGTAGTCCCTTGGTGTGGTGATTAAGGTTATGTGTCAGCTTGCCTGGGCCTGATTTTCAGTGGCTGGGCAACTGATGGTAGTTATTCTCCATGATGAGACTGGCAGTCAACTCCATGGGGGAATCTGCAGTGAGCAGCTGCTTTAGGGATGTGGTCTGCTTCCAGTATATAAGGAGAAGCATTGAGAAAGGTCTCTGCAACTTTTTGGCATGCGTGGACCCTGCATGTAGCTGAGTCTTCATTCAGCAGCCTGCCTTGCTTTGCCAATCTTTGGAATTTTTCTGGACTTGAATTAGTGGCCTGCCATGCTGTGTGACAATCTTGGGACTATGTCTTGTTACTTGTTGACCTTGGGTTTGTCAGCCTCAGCAGTCAGCATCTGCCTGAGTGAAGAGATGCCTCCAGCTCCAGTGGGTCGGGAGCAAGAGGCAGAGCTGAAGCCCAAGGTCAAGGGGCTTTCACCCAGCCCCTAGAGCTATTCTTTGAACTCAGACTTCTAGCCTCCCAAACTATAAGAGAATAAATTCCTGTTATTAAAGTCACCCATTTGTGGTATTTTCTGTTAGAGCAGCACGAAGTAACTGAAACACTTGGGGAGGTAGGCGGAGAGTCTGGGTCAGGTCCTCATGGGTAGCAGGCCCAGCAATGTCATTTGAGCTTTTAGTCTCATGCTGCCTCCACAGTGTGATTTTAGGGTATCTGGAAGGCCTGTGTCTTCAGCATAAACCAATACCAAGGAACTTCTGTCAACCCCACCGTGAAGTTGGAGAATGGGCTTAAATGCACAGGTGGTCCCAGGAAGGCAAACACACCACAGAGAACACAGGCACCCACGCTCAGGTTCAAATCCTGCTCCTTTGTCCTCCTCTATACACTAGCTGTGTGACCCAGAGCAAGGCACTTAACCTCTTAGAGCCCCAGTTTTCACATCTGTAAATTGGGACCAAAACCTGCTACCAGATGGTGTTCTGAATTTATTAAATGAATTCATGAATGTAGAAATACTAGGCCATCAAATATATTAAGTGCAGTGTTTATGGGGTTAATAGGTGGGATGGATTGAATGAAGTCTTCTATTGTACATCAGGCCTTTAGGAATTGAGTGTTCCACCAGGAACTGGCAACAGGAGCTCCCTTCAGCAAAAAGAGCAGATCCAGGCAGCAGTCTGGCTTTTCTTTGTTGCCATTCAATACCTGGGGATGGTCATCTGTGATCCACTGAGGGATGTTCAGTAATCTAGGGCCACGATGGACTCTGACCTACTGAGGGGCATTCTGGGGCAGGCAGATCCTTGGCCATAGTGACTCAGAGCCCCATTTATTTTCTCTCTGGTTGAACTTGGTTTAGATGGGAGGTCAGCTTTGAAGTGAGTCAGTCCACTTCCTACTGAGGCTCTGCTACATGCTGACTTCAACTTAGGAGGTCCCTCACCCTCCTTGGGCTTCAGCTTCTTCCTATGCAAAGTGAGGATACAATGGAACCTCCCCAAAGGTTTGTTTTAAGGATCAAATAGGATAATGTATTTAAAGCACTTGGCACAGAGCATGAACTCAGTACTTGGTAGCTCTTACTGTTATTTCTAATGAGGCTGAAGGAAAACTTCCCTTAAGATACTGGTGGGCTATGGTGGAGCATCTCTGAGGAGGCTGCTGTGGTCTCTGCTCTGTTCCCGCTGTGCTGTAGGTTGGAGGGAAGAGGAACTCTGCTCTAAGTTTGTTTTTGAGAGCAGGATGGGGGAAGAAGTCAGCGTTGTGCAGGGCCTTGGTCTTGCTCAGGGTGGAGAGCCAGAGAAGGGGGCTGGGCCCAAGCTCAGCTCCCTGGAGCTGCTGCCCGGTCCCCTGTGGGGAGTGGTGTTGCCTGGGGGTCTTGCTCCTTTTGCTGGGAGTGTAACCATTTGTGTCCCTAGAGTTGAAGAGGACTTGGACCAGATCCTGAACCTGGGAACTGAACCCAAACCCAAGCCCCTGCCCAAGCCCAAGCCCAAGCCACCAGTGGCCGCTAAGCCAGCGTTACCCAAAAAACCAGCTGTTCCTCCCAAAGCGGGCCCATCCGAAGCTGTGGTTGGGCAATGGAAGCAGCAGCAGCAGATCCAAGCCATGGATGAGATGGACATCTTGCAGTACATTCGGGACCATGATGCACCTGGCCAGGCCGCCCCTAGCCTCTTCTGATTCTGTCCACCCCTCTGCTAGGGCCCTGGCTGGCACATCCTCTCCTGTGGAGGGGTGTGTGTGAGTGAGGTGGGGCCTTTGCCAATAGTTCAAAGGGAGGGGCGAGTGGAAGCCTGGCTCATAGGACCCCTGTCCTGCCTTGTTCTTTTGTCTCCTAATCTGTGGGATCCAAATGGACCCCCTGCAGAATGGAAAGAGTAAAGGTCACCATAGGAAGTAGAGCCCATAAGGTATCAATCCACATGAGTGTGGAGGGGAGGGAGAATATGGGGATGCCTTACTAACCAGAGCCTAGCCCCAAGGATGGAATGAGAAATGTGAGGTCTCGGGGTACCTGACCAAGTGCATAAGTGACCCTCTGTTCCATGCTTTTCTTGGGACAAAGAAACCTCATGCTCACTTGTACTCACTGGTGCTGCCACCAGAGCAGGGAGGAGAAGGCCTGGCCAACCTGGGCCCGGGTTAGGGGTCAGGACACCCTGTGCCAAGCCACTCTGGAATCTCTAGGTGGCTGGAGGATGCTTTGGGAGGGGCCCCCAGGAGAGGGATCCTGAGCGGAGGCTTGGAAGACCCAAGCTATCCATACAAAGCCTCTCCTACGCCTTCTCCAGTTGCCAGTTGCTAGGTAGATTGCCTTCTCTGTGATCCAAGCTCAGAGAAGTCAGGTCCAGCCCTGCCTCTCTAGGGTCTGGATAGCTCCTTAATCAGCTCCACATTTCCCTTCTTTCTTTCCCATGGAAAGCTAGTCCAGAACGTAGCTTCTTTGCTTCTTTGGACAGAAGGCCAAGATCTGCCATTGCAGCTTTAAGCTCTGTGGACCAGAGCATCCTCCAGGGCACTGCCTAGGCCTGGGCTTGGGGTGTCCTGCCAGCCCCTTGCTGCCCCTCCTCACAGTGGGCCAGGGCGTGATGCTTTCTGACCTCTGCTTTGAGAGCCCATCTGTCACATGGTAGATGATGCCAGGCCTTCCTTCAGGGTCTGCACCTGTTCACTGGCCTTTCACCAATGAGGACTGCCTGCCCAGCAAGCAGGAGCCTACAGCAGGCAGGGTCAGTGCCTTAGACACCCCCAGATACCCAGAACCCCTGCACACAGGTTGAGCCTGGTGTGGTGCTCAGGAAATTCTCAATGAATGAATGATGTTTAATGGAACAAAATGGGGGAAAGAATGCCATTTTTTGACATATTCTTCATGCTTAGAGCTAGGTTTTAAAGAAACACAACAGTTTGTTTAACACAGTAGTTTGTAATGAAACACGACCACTTTGGCTAGCAGAAGTATTGCAAAGGGCCTTGGGAATAGGACGCCAGACCTTTTCCTGATAGGGGCCAAGAGCCAACCCTGAGGGAGTCCCCAGTTTTCCTGAGTCAGTTGTTTACTGCCATCAGAGTGTCTCATGTCCCTGCTCTGTGCCAGCACTGCAGGGAACAGAAGGAGGACCAAGTCGTATCTGTTCAGCATCTTACCACATCCCTCTTCACCTGTCTAATCCTGAAGAGGTTGTCCCACCCACCCTTCTGCCTGGTACCAGTTGAGAGGAAGCAGGTTCCAGGAGCTGAGGCTGAATTCTTCCTCCCCGCCCTCACAGGGCTCTGAGCTGGTCTACTTCCCTTCACTGTTGACCTTCACACACACTCTGCCTGTGGGCAGACTCCTTCCCAGAACCCAGCCCTTGGCCTCTGCACCCGTGGTTGACCTAAGAAAGGCCTCAGGTAGGACTGGTGAACCATGCCTAATCTCTTCCTGCGAGAGTCTACACAGCTGTGTTGACCCCAGCTCTCCAGTTCTCCGTTTTGTCCTTCCTTGGATACCAGCTCCCTGAACCCTTCCTCCCTGACCTTCCTCCACCCTCCAACCCACTTTGGACAATAGAGACATGACTAGTTAACCTGAAGAAGGCTTAGATACAACATAGGAGCAAAGGTGGCTGTTGGGGTAGTTCCCTCTGGCTGGAGTCTCCGTAGAACCTGGGCCTACCACTTGTGGCTTCATCAAACTGTGGCCCACCCTCAGTCTCAGTGGCCTTGAACTCTAGACACTTCAGTGAAGATTTGTGATTCCCCAGATAAGGCTCCTTTTTCACCACCAGTCTATATCGTCTTTGCCAATCAGTGGTACCCTTTCATCCAATAAAGTCCAAATCAATAATTCATTCCAGCATTTTTTTTGTGATGTTCTTTTCTGTGTGCTGGGCTAATGGGGAGGGGGAATTGTCCTTTACAACAATGACCTTAACCAGGGAAGCTGCCCTTGAGGGGCTCTGGGCTCTGCTGAGGCTCTGCCCCAGCATTCCAGATGGGGTTAATAGAGTGGAATAAGGGAAGAAGAAGGATTCTAGCCATTTTTTTCCCCACTGTGTGAATTGAGGCAGAGGGACCAGAGGCCCGAACTCAGTGGAGGTCCTCAGGTCAATGAGGAAGGAACTGCTCAGCTAAGACCTGTGTGAAAAGAGGACTTTCCCCTCTCCAAACCTCACCTCCCAACTCCCCAAAGCAGGAACTAGTCCCTACTTGGACTGCGCTGGGGCCCTTTCAGCTCTGAAATCAGACAAGATTCTGCAGCCTTGTCTGGATATACTCACAGAGAAGCCCTGTCCAAGCCTCCTGGCCTCACTCTCCCTGCTGGTGCTCAGCTTCTGAGATGCAGCTTTCATTTTTGGGACCCAAAGATGTTAAAGCCAAATAATTCTGCAAACCAACATCCACTGCAGAGCAAGAAACATTCCCATGGAACCTAAGGAAGCTGTGCACAGGCACTTTGTGCACTGATAATGTGGTTTCTCTGTCCCCGCAACCTGTGTTTGATCTTTATATAGTAATAGGAATTGGAATGTTGACTCCTGAGGAGAAACAATCTGGCCATTCTGAGGATCACACAGCCCAAGAGAGTTCACAACGGAAGAGGAACTGAGAGGTTTAATTTGGGACCAATGAGGTTTGTTTATTTGACCCCTGGGGAGGATGTGGTGGCTGGCTGTGGCAGAGTTCTCTCCCTCCTGGTATATTTCCTCTCAGGAAGCCATCAATTCCAACCAGTTCTTCAGAATAGTTCCAATCCTAGTGGCTGGTCTTGGCCAGGCTCATGTCTTTAGCCCTGCCAGAGAGCATACCCACCCATTGAGCTCAGGTGTCCTTGATCATGTCAGTGCAATGGTTCTAGAACTGAGCTCACTTCCAGTGTCCACAGTGGGCTGGCATGAAGCTCTTGTCCCTCACACCAGATGAAGTAGATGAGGCAGCAGAAGTCCAGCCCACTCCTTGGGGCCCTGTAGCCTTAGTGCCCAGCTGCCACTTGGCATTGTGTTGACATAATCAGTGTAGTGGATTTAATACCCAGTACTGTGCTTTGATAGAAGGAGCCCTGGTGGTGCAGTGGTTAAAGTGCTTGGCTGCTAACTGAAAGGTCAACAGTTTGAACTCACAAGCCACTCCATGGGAGAAAGATGTAGCAGTTTGCGTCCATGAAGATTACAGCCTTAGAAACCCAATGGGGCAGTTCTGTTCTGCCCTATGGAGTCACCAAGAGTCAGAATTGATTCTACGGCAATGGGTTATTGGGCTGTGCTTTGATCTGTGTCCTCCCTGGTCTCCAGGGGAATCTGACTGTGCAAAGTCAGACTTGGTTCTCTAGCTCAGCAACTGTCCTGAAAGACAGGAACAGAGCTACCAAAATGTGCCCTGGATGGTGAACCTGGTTGCCTGGCCAGCACCTTCAGATGGATGCTGCTGTGTCTGTGTGGGTGTGATGGCTGCCCATAGCAAGTGTGATCAGGACTTCAGAGCCCCTTTCAGTGACTGACCTTTCAGTGTCAGGCTTGAGATTGTCCCACTCTCTGTAAACTCTGATCACCCCAAACCATGCCACCTGCAGCACTCTAAGGCTTCAAGTTTAGTGAAAACTGATCAAGGGGGCTCAGGGATCATTGGCTATGAGCAGCACTTAGGTTCTCATGTAGCCCATACCATCTGGATGAATCAGCAGTCAGGTCCTACGGGAATAGAAGGGTCTGAGTTCCAGTCCAGCTCAGCTATGGGACTTCTGGGCTAAGTGAATTTGAACCTGTTGCTGAAATACCAAGTGAAGAAACTTAGCCCAGGCACATGTGAAGGGACTGTTGTTTTTAGCTGCCATCAAGGCCATTCTGACTCATGGTGATCCCATTTGTTACAGAGTAGAACTGCTCCATTGGGTGTTCTTGGCTGTAATCTTAATGGTAGATCACCAGGTCTTTTTTTCTGAGGTACCACTGGGTGGATTTAAACCACCAACCTTAGTTTAGCAGTCAAGTGCAAACCATTTGTAACACTTGTCTCTGTAGTTCATCACACTGGAACCCCTCCCCAGGATGAGTGGGGTACTAATGGGAAGAGGCAGGAGGGTGGATGGGTGGTCAGAAGGCACTGCCAACTTGAGCTCAGCCTGCCTTCCACCCAGGGTATTGACTATTATCTGCAGGCTTTCATTGTGTTATGACATGGTATAGGATACCCTGTCCTGGAGTCAAGGGCTCTGAGTGTAGTATACTCAACAAATACTCATCCCTCTCACCTGTGGCTGACCTCTACCTCTTGTTTTCCATAGCTATGGACACTGGTGAAAGCTACAGGATTTCATTTCTCAGGTTGTGTTCAGGTTAACACTGTAGCTTCTGGAGAGAGGATTATGGGCTCAGCACATGGTCTCAATAAGCAGGAATCCCTATTGACAACATTTAGAACTGCTGATGCTTCTCTGCAAACTCAGCAAATCACAGCAGCCTCTAAATAGCTGTTTCAGTAAAGATGGATTGGCTGTCTCCAGCCCAGCTGGCCAGTCACACCATCTGTTTCCTCACATACATAGCTCATTCAGTAACATCAAGCATCTAATGAGCTCCTACTGTGTGCAGGCACCATGGCATGTCAAACAAGGGCAGTCATGTAGGCTGAGGCATAGGAGTGCAGAAAATAAGCAGGTTGGCCCTTCCTGACAAGAAGCTCCACATTGTGCTGGGTGCTAA